TTCGGCTCAGGTCATGATCCTGGAGTCCCTGGATCGAGTCCCGCATCGGGCTCCCTGCTCGGCAGGGAGTCTGCTTCTCCCTCTGACCCTCCCCCTTCTCATGTGCTCTCTCTCATTCTCTCTCTCTCAAATAAATAATAAAATCTTTTTAAAAAAATGTTTTATTTATTTATTTGCTAGAGACACAGCGAGAGAGGGAACACTAGCAGGGGGAGCGGGAGAGGGAGAAGCAGGCTTCCCGCGGAGCAGGGAGCCCAATGCGGGGCTCCATCTCAGGACCCCGGGACCATGACCTGAGCTGAAGGCAGACCCCCTATGACTGAGCCACTCAAGCACCCCTCAATCTCTACATTCTTGAGCAATCTCATCTAAACCCCAAATTTCCTAAGCAGAATATCTCACCTCAGCTCTCTTCTGCATTTCAGATGTGTATATAACAAATATCTACACCAGAAATATCCCACAAATACCTTAAGGGCAACATATTCAGAGCTCAATCATTAGATTTCATCCAAAAGATACATTCCAACTTCATGGATATGGACATGTATGTAAACTAATCATCTCCCCCATCACCACGCTTCCTCTTTCTCTTTTTCTCTGTAGGTGATAGATGAATATAGTTTATCTAGGAAATAAATGCAACCAAATTTGGAAAACGTTATTTCAAGTTCCAACTCTTTTAGTCCTTCAGCAACAAAAACTCCTCAAGTAAACATTTTACTTTATCTTTATTTTTTTGTTATACGCAACTAATGAATCGTTGTACACTACATCGAAAACTATATGCTGGCTAACTGAAAATAATAAAAAAATAAAATAAATAAAATATGCCCTGAAAATAAATAAATACTTATTTAATTTAGAGAGAGTACGTGCACAAGTGGGAGAGCATCAGAGGGAGAGGGACAGAGCCACTACCCACTGAGCACAGAGCCCAACCCAGAGCTCGATCTTATGACCCTGAGATCATGACCTGAGCCAAAATCAAGAGTCAGTCGCTTAACTGACTGAGCCACCCAGGCACCCCACTTTATTTTTAAATTAACATATAATGTACTTGCTTTTTGTATACAGTTCTATGAATTTTAACACATGTATGGATTTCTGTAACTATCTCCACAATAAAAGTACAGAATAGTTCCATATTTTGCTCCAAAAAAATTTCCCTTGCATTATCCCTTGGTAGTGAGACCCTCTCCTTACACCTTAGCCCTGGAAATAACTAATCTTTTCCTTGTCACTACAGTTCTGTCTTTTAGGGAATGGCATATGAATAGAATTATACAGTATGTAAACTCTTAAAAAGCAGCTTCTTTAAATAGATATAATGTCTTTTAGATCAATCTGAATTGTTTTGTGTACAAATAATTTGTTCCTTTTATTGCTGAATTTTATTAGTATTTTGTTGTACAGATGCAGCACGGTTTGTTTATACATTCACCCATTGAAGGACATTTGGGTGTTTCCAATTCTTGGTGATTATGAATAGAGCTTCTATAAATATTCATGGACAGAGTTTTATGTGAACATAAGTTTTCATTTTTCTAGGGCAAATACCTAGGAATGGGATTGCTGGGTCATACGGTAAATACATGCTTAATTTTATTTATTTTATTTTTTAAAAGATTCATTTATTTATTTGAGAGAGAGAAAGAGTGTGAGCAAGGAGAGAGGCAGAGAGAGTGGGACAATCTCCAGCAGACTCCCCGCTGAGCACAGAGCTGCTCAATCCCATGACCCTGAGATCATGACCTGAGCTGAAATCAAGAGTCAGACACCTAACCAACTGAGCCACCCAGGCATCCCTATATGCTTAATTTTATAAGAAACTGCCAAACTGCTATCCAGAGTGGCTATTTCATTTTGCCACCAACAATATATTGAGTTCCAGTTACTCTACATCCTCAGCAGCACTGATAATATATATTTTTTAATTTTAGCTATTCTAATAGATGTGCAAGAGTATCTCACTGTGGCTTTAATCCACATTTCCCAAATGGCTAATGAACATTTTTTTTTTAAAGATTTTATTTATTTATTTGACAGAGAGAGACAGCGAGAGAGGGAATACAAGCAGGGGGAGTGGAAGAGGGAGAAGCAGGCTTCCCGCTGAGCAGGGAACCCAATGCGGGGCTCGATCCCAGGACCCTGGGATCATGACCTGAGCTGAAGGCAGACGCTTAACGACTGAGCCACCCAGGCGCCCCTGGCTAATGAACATTTTATATGCTTATTTGCCATCCTTTTGCTGAAATCATTTGGGATATTTTAGTTCCTTTGTGTTCTCATATAAATTTTAGAATGAACTTTTATATACCTTCAAAAAATCTGTTGGAATTTTTATTTGAATTGAGTTAAATTTATAGATAAATTTGAGAATTAAATTTTAGCTATGTTGTGTCTTCCAATTCATGAACACAGTGTTTTTTAAAAACTGGGTAGTTTTCTTACAGTTGAGTTATGAGAGTTCTTTTTATATTCTAGATACAAGCCCTTTGTTGGATATGTGATTTGCAAATATTTTATCTCCGTCTGTAGCTTGTCTTTCCTTTCTCAAAATAGTGCCTTAAATGGAGCAAAAGTTTTTCATTTTGCTCAAATAGAATTCACTATTGTTTTATGGATTGTGCTTTTGGTATCACATCTAAGAACTCTTTATCTAACTCCAAGTCACGAAGATTTTTCTGCCTGTTTTTTTTTCTTTAAAATGTCATAATTCTATGTTTTACATGTAGATTTATGATCTATTTTTGAGTTAATTTTCATATAAAGTTTGAGGTTAAGATCAAGGTTTTTTGTTTGTTTGTGTATGGCTATCCAGTTGTTCCAACATCATTTATTGAAAGGCTTCCTCTATTGAAGCGCTTTCACAACTTTGTAAAAAATCACTTGGACATATTTATGTGGGTTATTTCTGGGTTCTCTATTCTGTTCCATTGATCTGTGTCTATCATTTTGCTAATATCACACTGAATTGATTGCTGTAGCTTTATAACAAATTTTAAAATCTGATAGTGTGATTTCTCCAACATTATTACTGTCTTCCAAAATTGTTTTGGTTACTATAGTTCCTTTGCTTTTCCATTTAAATTTTAAAATCAGCTTATTTGTGTCTATAAAAATAATGCTGGGATTTGATCTACCAATCAGTTTGGGGAGAGTTACATCTTTGCTATGATGATTCTTTCAAACCATAAAATAGTAATGTCTTGATTTATTTAGGTCTTTTTTATTTATTTTATCATTTATTTATCATATATTCTTGTAGTTTTAAGCATACAGACTATTTTCATGTTTTTTAGATTTGTACCTAAGTATTTAATTCTTTGGAGCTAATGTAATTTTTAAAAATTTTATTCATTGCCAGTATAAAGAAATACATTTTGTTCTTGTATGTTGACCTTGTATCCTGCAACCTCATTAAATTCACTAGTTTAAAAGTTCTGTCATGGATTCCTTGAGATTTTCTGCATAGATAATCATGTCATCTGAAAATATGCTTGCCTTTTATTTCTTTTTCTTACCTTATTATACAGGCTAGAACATCCAATACAATGTTGAGTGGTGAAAGTGGACATCCTTGCTTTGTTCCCAAATGTAAAGAAAAAGCATTCAGTCTTTTACCATTAAATATGTTAGCTATGTACTTTATAGACACTCTTTATTGGGTTAAGAAATTTTTCTTCTATTCCTAGTTTGTTGAGAGTCTTTCTCATGAATCGATGTTGAATTTTGTCAAATCCTCTTCCTGAATCGATTGATATGATCATGTGATTTTTTTTCCTTCTTTAGATTGTTAATATGGTGGATTACATTTATTGAATTTCCAACACTGTACCAATCTCACATTCCCACTAGAATCTCGACCTGGTCATGATGTTTTATTGTTTTTATATATTGAAATATTCAATTCCTTAATGTTTTATTGAGCTTTATTACACTTATGGTCATGAGGCATATTTAGCTTGTAGTGGTTTTTTGTTTTGATTTTTTTCTACTGCTATCTTTGTCTAGGTTTGGTGTTTGGGTAATGCTGTCTTCATAAATTGGGAATGTCCTTTCCTCTTCTTATTTCTGGAAGAGATTGTGTAGAATAGGTATTAATTCTTCTTTAAATATTTCTTAGAATTTGCCAGGACAACCATTTGTGCTTAGAGATTGCTTTTTTTGGAAACTTTTAACTGCAAATACAATTTCTTTGTTACTGAATTATTTAACTATTACATCTTAGGTGAATTTTGGTAGTGTGTTATTTTCAAAGAATTATTCTATTTCATCTGTTTGCAGATTTGTGTCAATAAAGTTGTTCTTAGTTTTCCCTTAATATCTTTTTAATGTCTGTGGGATTTGTAATGATATCCCCTCTTTCATTCCTGATATTGGTAATTTATGGTTTATCTCTTTTTTCTTTGTCAGTCTTGCTAAAGGCTTATCAATATTGAGATTTTTTAAATATTTTATTTATTTATTTGACACAGAGAGAGAGTACACGCAAGTGGAGCGGCAGAGGCAGAGGGAGAGGGAAAAGCAGGCTCCCAGCTGAGCAGAGAGCTGGATGTGGGACTCGGTCCCAGGATGCTGGGATCATGACCTGAACCAAAGGCAGACACTTAATCAACTAAGCCACCCAGGCGCCCCAAGGCTTATCAATATCGTTAATGTCAAAGAATCAGTTTTTGTTTTTATTGATTTTCTCCAACGTTTTCTCTTTTCAATTCCATTGATCTCTACTGTTATCTTTATTATTTCCTTCTTTTTGCTTGCTTTGGGTTTATTTTACTCCTATTTTTCCAGTTTTTCTTTTTTTTTTTTAAACACTTCTAAGAGGCTTTATATTAAAGATTATGTAGAACAGAACCGTCTCTCAGAAACCTAGGCATGAGGAAGGAACATTGATGGGTTCTTTCTGAGGCTTTTTTCGTGGGGACAAAGAGATGACAAGAGGTAATGTTAGAACATGAGAGCATACGACACATGAAGGGAGGCAGAGGTGGGAAGAGGGTTTTCTAGCCACAAGGCCACCACATTCATGTTCAAAGAGAAGTCAGAGCGATGGGGGGGGAACCCCAAACACAACAAAATAAAACCCAAGTCAGAGGAAAAAAGGGTTTCATACAACACAGTATCAAAAAAGTAAAAGGAACACACTAAATGCACAAACTGGTGGCAAGTTAAGTCCATAGCCTATTGTGATAGGTCCTTCCAGCATCAATCAGGTTTCTTCTCCATCTGTTATCTCAAGGTTATTTACAGATGTGGTGACTTTTGAACAAGAGTCTCTCACGAGGAGGGTGGGCAGGTTTCAATCATTGGTTTCTGGATCTGTTTGTGCCATGTAGGCATCCAACTCGGCATCCAGGTGTCCTTTTGTTTTCAACATGTATGCATCCAACTGGTTGTCCAGCTGCTCCTTGGTCAGTGCAGGGCGAGTGAGGGCACCTCTCCCTCATCCACGTCCTCGGCCTCGACCTCCAAAGCCCCCTCTTCGCCGACCTATCATACCCCGACCTCTACCACTAATTCTGCCACGACCCATAGCTCCACGCCCTAGGCCCCCTCTCTCAGGACCTCCACGACCTGGAACACCACCTCTTCTTAAGCCCATTCGGGGAGCTACAGCTCATCCACCTTGGAGCGACATCCCACCCCTAAGCAGGGTTCTGGTGGCACGTCTCCCACGTAGTCCTCCTCGGGGTAAGCCTCTCTGGATTATGGGCAGGTCTCGTCCTCCGATTGCTCCCCTGGCCAGGGTCCCTATGGGTCGGCCTAACGGTGCCTGGATGTTGCTCTTACCCAGGCGCTGCTTTAAGCTCTTCTGCTTAAGTTTAAATGCTGCCTGGACAGAGGGTCTATTCTCCATCTGCTGGGCCAGTCTTCTGCTTCTGGCACTGGCTAGCTGCTGCTGTTGCTGCATGGAAGCCCGAATATTCACTGGCATCGGCTGTGTGTTCTTCAGCATATTAGTAAAGCGCTCATTTAGAGATATCTTGGTGGTGCTTTTTAGCACAACTTTCGCTGCTGACTGTGCAGCCATCTTCAAATCTGAGTAAGCAGTATCTCTCATAGGTGGACCAAAAAAAAAAAAAAAAAAAAGAGAGAGAGAGAGACATGAGGTGGGAGAGGTTCTCCAAATGCTTCATAGAGGGCCATCAGGAGGTAGCAGGGTCCCAGGGATCAGGCAAAATTAAGAGAGCAGGTTAAGAGAAGACAGTTGGAAGCTCCCAGAATCTGGAGAGATTCCAGAAACAAGGCAGATGATGTATTATCAGAACTCTAGTACTTAGAGCTTGGGGGCTAGATCTCAGAGAAGAGGTATTAAAACGCCTGATAGGGGCACCTGGGTGACTCAGTCGGTTACGCATCTGCGTTTGGCTCAGGCCATGATCCTAGGGTCCTGGGATGGAGCCCCACTTCAGGTTCCCTGCTCAGCAGGGAGTCTTCTTCTCCCTCTCCCCCTCCCCCCAGCTCGTGCTCTCTCTCTCTCTTTCAAATAAATAAGTAAATAAAATCTTAAAAAAAAAAAATTACTTCCTCAATAGTACTCCGATCCACGACCTTTTTTCCTCTTCGCTGCCACTTTGGTTTAGACCCCCATTACGCCCTTGCCTTTACTGAAACAGCCGTTTACTGGATCATTCTGCCTCCAGTTGTGCTCTCTCCTCTCGAGTCCACCCTTGTCACTGCAACTGGGCACGGAACGCCAGTGCTCCTCCCGGGGCTGCCACCACGGCTGCAGCGCGCGGGCCCAGCCGGCGGAACCTGAGCTGACTTGGTGGGCGGTTGGTTAGAGGTGTAAGCGGCAGGCTGCTGGGTGAGCTCGCTGTGGCCAGCCCGCTGTGTGGTCGGCGGGTCCGCCTGCTCGCCCGGCCTGCCCTTTCCTGCCTGGCATGGGTGCCACCGCCGCCGCCTCCCGCTCGGTGTCCAGTTTTTCTTGTTGCAGTGGAAGTTTAGGTTACTGATTTGAGACCTGCCTTCTTTTCTTAGATAAGCATCTAAAAAAAAATTGTTTTTAAGGTTTTATTTATTTGACAGAGCGAGAGCGTGAGCACAAGCAGGGGGCGTGGGAGAGGGAGAAGCAGGCTTCCCGCTGAGCGAGGAGCCAGAAGCATTCTAAAATTTTTAAAAATCTTTATGGAAAATTCTGTGTGGTAGAAAAATACTCAGACCTAGCATTAGGAGCATTAGGGTGCCTCAGATTTAATTTTAATGCAAGGCAAGAATTATGAATCCATCACCACATTTGAGACAGGGGAACAAATGATTCCAATATAAAATCAGAGGGGGAGATGAACCATGAGAGACTGTGGACTCTGAGAAACAAACTGAGGGTTCTAGAGGGGAGGGGGATGGGGGGATGGGTTAGCCTGGTGATGGGTATTAAGGAGGGCACGTATTGCATGGAGCACTGAGTGTTATATGCAAACAATGAATCATGGAACACTATATCAAAAACTAATGATGTAATGAATGGTGATTAACATAACATAATAAAATTTAAAAAATAAACTGGATGGCCCAGCGCAGAATTAATCACAGAGTAATAATAGGGCAAGAACTGTCAGGGAGCAAAGAATGGACAAAGCATTCTCTGCAACGGTGTAGGAACCTCTCCTGCAAGGTTCTTGGCCTTTTCTACTAAAAGGCATTCGGATAGCTTTACGGATTTTCTTCAGTCACAAATGTTCTTACCTTTATGCCTCTTCTGCTTGGGAACACCAATATGCAGTGGAAGTGTCCATGGAATATTGTTTATAATATACTCAATTGCACCCTATGTGATTCACACGATAAATATTAATAAACATTTCTGGTGTGTCTGAGGTTACAAAAGAATTACTTTAAGCCCTATATTTTAATGAACTTAGGGGAGAATATAGTATACACAAATGAGATCTACATCAATCAGTAACAGCTATTATTTATTTAAAACATACTGTGTGCCAGACATTGCATATGCAGTATACTTTACGTGCACTTAATCTCTATCACCATCTGATGATTTCATGGGAAGAATATAGGTTTGGGAAACAGAAACCAAGTTTGAATCTCTGCTCTCTCTCTTAACATGGCTTAAGCCAGTTATTTAAACTCCCTGAAGTTCAGGGTTTTGTTTTGTTTTGTTTTTCCTTTAATTAAGAAATGGGGATAAAGTTGTTGTAGGATTAAATGTGATAATATATGAAAAGGGCTTAGTTGGGTAGGGAAAGCAGGGGTTTTGAAGTCTAAAACTTTGGCTTCAAACCCACTGTTGGTTACATATTAGCTATGAGAACTTCAGCAAATTACTTAGCCTCTCTGGACTTTGATTGATATATAAAGTAGGGCACAGGTAGATGATAGATAAAGAGAGACAGATCATCTTCCCCTTCACCAGCACAAAAACCTCTCCTGTAGGTGTCCCCTTTCCATCCATCCTCTCAGTTGCTCAGCTCAAACAACTTGGGATGACTTTTTACTCTCCCTATAACTCATAATCACTCTAAAAGCAAATCTCATTAGTTCTACCTTCAAATCTATTTAAATTTCTTCCACCTCTCCTACCTCCTCCTCCATTGTCATGGTCTGAGCCAGCTGCTCTACTGTCATAATTTTCTAACTGCTTTTCTCACTTCCTCCCTTATCCAACACTATTCTCATCACAGCAGCCAGAATGACCCTTTAAAACACAAGTCAGATCAAGTTCTCTAACAGCCTCCCATCTCAATCAGAGTGAAAGTTGTCTTGACAATGGCTTACAAGATCCCTCCAAAACTCGCCCATCCCTGCCACCCATCCTACACCCCTGAGCCACCCCTACAATCTCTTCTCCTCTGTGCTTCCTGCACCTGCTCTACTCCAGGTCCACCAGCCTCCATGCCATTCTAGGGACTCTTTAGGTTCTCTTCCACCTGAGTAACCTTATACTCTCCATTCTTTCCACCTGGAATGTTCTTCAGCCAAATAGCCTCAAGCCTCCCTACTTCACCTCTTTTAAGTCCTTGCCCAAATTCCATCTTCTTAGTAAAGCCTTCCCTACCCATTCCATTTAAAATTTGGCACCTGGGGTGCTCAGTCAGTTAAGCATCTGACTTTTGATTTCGGCTTAGGTCATGATCTCAGGATTGTGAGATCGAGTCCTGCGTCGGGCTCCGCCCTGGGAGTAGAGCCTGCTTGGGATTCTCTCTCTCCTCTCCCCTGCTCACTCTTTCTCTCAAAAGGGAAAAAACAAAAAAACAAACTCCACAGCCCTCCAACACTCCATGCAGTATTCTATCCTCTTACCCTACTTACTCACTTTTCTTTATAACATTTATCTCCATCTAGCAGTGCTATATTGTACTTACTTACTTTTTGGTGGTGTTGTCTATTCCTCCAACACACACACACAGGAATTCCATGAGAGCAGGTATTTTGGGCTGTTTTGTTCATTGTTGTATCCCTAGTTTTAGAATGGTATCCAGCACATGGTATTCTCTCTCACCTTCTCTCTTGCTCTTCTGCCCTAACTTCTTCCCTCCCCTCCCATCTCCTCTCTTTTCTCCCCTCCTCTCCCCTCCCTTTTCCTCTCCTCTCTCCTCCATAAAATATCTACGTACTATACATATCCTGATAGAATTTCTGGAACCCTAGAACAACAGTATAAAGCCAATCTTAGTTTCCTTAGCTTGTTAGAAATAGCGCCCCTTCACTGGGAAAGAATGTAGGATTATGATTTATGTAACATGTGTACAAGCACCTATCGTGTATCAGGTACTACTTTAAGATAAATAAGAAATAATCTGAGTCCTCAACTCACTGTCTAGTTTGAAAAAGGATCAAGTAAACATGTAAGAAATAAGAGAAAGGTGCTCGCAAAAAAGTATTTCACTTGGTGAGGTGGGGATTGTGAGAGGTTTAAAAATAGGTCTGATGGGGTCAAGACAAACCAGCAATAACAATCAATTAGAAGAGTAATGGCACAGCGTGTTTGGTGCAGAAGTTTTGATCAGTCTGGGGGGTTGATCAAGATGATTCAAGTGTTCCTTTGACAATGAGTCATCCATAATCTCATGACTGCTGTTGCTTGTGTTCATGGTTATGAAATGATCCTCACACTACAATTCCTAATATTAGAAGCTTCCCTTCCACCGGTACAGATTGTTAGGCCAGGGAGTAGGTGTTTAGAGTATGGCTTGTTTGTTCTCCGCTGGGCTGGGGTTACAGTGCACTCAGCATTTACTGAGTAAGAAACACATACTAGACCCTTCCCTAATATGCTGCATGGGAGTAAACAAGAGGTGCTTGGGGGCACATTCAGGGGAACTCAAAGAGCTAGATGAAGGAATGGGGAAGGTGAATAGGAATAGCTGAAGTGTTCCTGTATTATTAAAACAAAATGGCCCTTCTGAGTAAACATTTAGCAAACTGGCAGATTCATAACTCCAGGGTGCAGAGGGCTGAACGCACCAATAGCAACGGGGAAAAGAAGCCTTGAGGACGTACCTCAAATTTCCAAGACTTATTTTCATTAGTGGAAACTTCTGGGGTGTTCTCTCATGCCCTAGAAGTCTAACTCTGTGCAGGGTTGAGGGTAGAAACTTAGACACAAAGCAACACCTGAGGAGAACCACATGTTCTTTAAAGGTGCTCTTTGGGAATTTGATGATAATGGGATGGTGTTTGGTGATGTCACGTGTGTTATCTCATCTAATCCTCACAACATCCCTAAGAGGTAAGTACTATCATTTCCTTTATTTGATAAAAATAGAAAACTGAGACGCAGTGAGATGAAGTGACTTTCCCAAGAGTCAGAATCAGAACTTGAATTTTGGTCTTTTCACTCCCAATTCTATACTTATCTTCCCCCACTTGCCGTGATGAAGTTCTGGAAAACTGTTTGGAAAGTTCTGGTCTAGAGCAGTGTTTCTCAAATCTGGTTGCATAGCGAAAGCATTTGGGCATATCTACAAACCCTGATGTCTGGTTGTCAACACTAGAGATTCTGGGGTACAATCTGGGTAATGGGGTTTTTGTTTATTTATTGTTTGTTTTTTTAAAGCAATCTTTACACCTGAGGTG